GGTTTTTTGTGTGCTGACACTAAATGAGCAGAAGCTTACAATTTTTCTTTGGTTTGTTTCTAGAGCAATGAACTCTTTGCAATTTTCTTGGATGAAACAATGACATACTCATGTGCACTGTTCAAGGCAAGAACAACTATCTGATGAGTCCAAATTTCATATAAAAAGTATTTCTCCAATTTCTGCAGCAGCACTAGTTAATATTCTTCCTTCTTTTCTTTGTTTAATTATCTGATAGAACAAAGATGAAGACTTGAGTGATGCACAAAGGAGAAAAATCTCTCTTCTGATTCAAAAGGTATCTGCCTTTGATTGCTTTTTATTAGAACTTCAGCTGTTAACTTGCAAAATGTCTAATGTTTTTTTTTTTTCCAAAAAAACAAGGCTAAAATTGATAAGAAGCATAAAATTCTTGAGATTGGATGTGGATGGGGAAGTTTAGCCATTGAAGTCGTCAAACAAACAGGCTGCAAATACACTGGTATCACTTTGTCGAAGGAGCAACTGAAACTTGCAGAACAAAGAGTTAAAGATGCTGGGCTTCAGGTATTAACAAGCTCTTTTTTTTTACAATTTCATGAATTTCCTTATAAAAATATGGTTGATTCATTATAAGATCAGAATAAGCTTAAATCGAATTCATGTTTTTATTCGTGATGATTCCAGGACCGCATCAAGTTTCTACTGTGTGACTATCGCCAATTGCCCAAGACAAACAAATTCGATAGGATTATATCTTGGTGAGCTATTCATAATTTAATTTTACGGACTTTTTGTAATATTTTCAACTATTGCTTAACTTGTATAAGCAAACTTCAGTGAAATGATAGAAGCTGTTGGCCATGAATACATAGAAGAGTTCTTTGGATGTTGTGAATCAGTATTGGCCCATAACGGACTTCTTGTTCTCCAGGTATATCATTATAGATTATTACTTCTATTTTAACTTTCATCTTTATAAATTTTCTGTGTTTAGATTAAAGAAATTTTCTGGAGGGCATGGTATGCTATGCTATGCAAATGAAACAGTAACAACAAGTACATTTTTTTGGTATTTAAATTACTGCACCCATTGACAAGATGGTTATTGTTCCGTAGTTCATATCAATCCCGGATGAGCGTTATGATGAATATAGACGGAGTTCAGATTTTATAAAGGAATATATATTTCCAGGAGGTTGCCTACCCTCTCTAAGTAGGATAACAGCAGCCATGGCATCCACATCCAGATTATGGTACAAGTTATATTTAAATACTGGGTTCTATCATTGACCATTCCCTTCATTCTTCTCTCTTACGCAAATGAACACTCTTAAATGCAGCGTGGAGCATGTTGAAAACATGGGAATTCATTACTACCAAACACTAAGATGCTGGAGAAAGAACTTCATGGAAAGGCAGAAGTATGCTATTAAGCTGATTTAAACTTGCTAAAGTATGTTAAATTCAAGTGACTACTCACAACGACCAACTAATGAAAATGTGTTTCTATGTGCTGACAGCGAAATTTTGGCTCTTGGATTTAATGAAAAGTTCATCAGGACATGGGAGTACTATTTTGATTACTGTGGTGCGGGTTTCAAGTCACTCACACTTGGGAATTATCAGGTATGTGACACAGTTACATGAGCAAGATATATGATATGTTAGTGTATAAATATGTGTTTATGAACAATGTAGGTGGTTTTCTCACGCCCTGGTAACGATCCTGCATATGGGGATCCATACAAAAGCTAGAACTAAACAAGTGGACAGAAGAAGCCTCACACATTTTACGAAACTACATGACATGATTGTGCCATGTAATAATTATTGGAGCTGAAGTGTGCTCTGCTTCACCGTGCAAGCATCTCCATTTGTGAGAATTTTTCGTAGAAAAAGAAATATATTTTCTTAAAGAATGGAACAAGTTTTATGTGTAGTTCTTGTTTACAGAGTTTTTTTCATATTAATTTTTTTAAATGTGAGCGTGTTATGGAGTACAAGGATAAGTGAAAATTGCGTTCCCCTGTGTCTGTTATTACAACTAGCTTCAAATTACCAATAATTTATGACAGATTTAAAATACTGCTCGTCTTTAAATTATTTTATTTTAGTCTTTGGAAAAAGGACATTACTTTCAGAATTGTAACTTAACAAAATTTGCATGCATATATAAAACATGTGAAAGCATGCTATTATTTATCCTATATTTCATTTTAAAAAGAAACATAGATTTATTGACTAGAAATAAAATAAACACAGGTTTAATTGGCGTTTCACATAAAACAGGTCCAATTTGACGTTTTAGTGATTGTGTATTTTTTTTTCTTTTAAACAGATCTATTTGTATATAAATAATTAATAAATAAATAGATTCTATTTAAATAATTTTATTTTAAAATATATTATTTATGTATAAAATTACACAATCACACATACAGGGACTATAAAGCAGGCTCTAACAAAAGACGGTATCTTCTATATATTTATGTTTTCGATTATTGCTCCAACATGTTAGTAAAGAAAAATGTTAAATTAATAGTACTTTGTTATCATTCTCAAATTAAAGAAATAAAAAACATTTAAATTGTTTTGATACATAGCAAGTGTAATCAATCGGTGATAAACAATATTCAATGGAGAATTTGTAGACGATTTCTTGTTTTTTATAATAAAATATTTTTGAATAAAGAAATTATAAATTTATGAGATTACTTTTCAATTATAAAAGTTAAGAATTTATATTTTCTCCTATTTATATACTTTCTTTTATATATAAAGAGATGTTAGTGTGATTTACTTGACAATTTTAAATTATGATCGATGTGGATCAAAATAATTATAATAAAACATCTTTGCTTAGTTATTCTTTTAATAAATAATTCATAATAGAAGGTTTTTTAGTGAATGCATCACAGGTAATTATCAACTAAAAAAATATTAATGTTGATGAAATATTATGCATCACAGTTAAAATATTCTATCTCAACAATAATATTAAAATTCAATAATTTTGCATTCAAATAAAACATTGAAAAAATAAAATATTTCAAAAATAATATTAAAAATGCCAAGCTTGGTACTTAAATGCATTATAAAGGGTATCAAATGGAATTTATATTGAAATGGAGTAGTAGTTCATAAAGGGTAACTGGAATTTGCTTTAAGAAACATTCATTTTAACCAAAGAAGAAAAGGGGAAGATAACAAAAGATGATGATACCACCGTTCTCCCAGTACGGAGTTTTATGTGCATAACTCACAAATGCAAGACAGCTTAACGTTCATTTTTTCCATTCGTCACGTTATACATTATAAAGATAACATATTCTAACATCATAACATGCTTCGCTTAAGGGTCCACAGAAAGAAACCGCGTTTCACTCGTTGGGAACTTCGCAGTTTCCCCCAACGAACGAGCCTGCCAAATAAAAGATAAAAAGTCCTAGGTAACTGCAGGCAGATTCTGCCATTAAAATACAACCTAATATTTTATCAGAACAGAAGAAATCATTTTAAGAACATTGAAGAATACAAAACACTCCTTAAAATGCATACCATGTTTGAGATATGTATTGTAAAAAAACATCTCTTGAGAAGCTATCTAAATGCATGTTCTTCCCTGTCATGTTTAAGGTATAAATTGCTTTAAATACATTCAAATCGTTTCTTCATAACTTCAAAGTAGGAACTAACATTGGATAGAAATTTATAAAATAAGAAAGTACATCCTCTTACAAATCTTTCTAATAACTTTTAAAAACAAAGTATTAAAAAAAACATACATGATGTCTTGCAAACTCACATTCATAAATTTCTTTCTTTCAAAAGATATTAGTAAGAATATTATGAAACAAGGATTTAAAAATAATCGCGTGATAGTGACTACCTAAGAATGATGAAAGAACTCGCTGCTGTAAATGAAATGCAAATTTAACCCCTTGTCGTATAACAAAAAGCAGTTGCCACATTAATCAATACTAGTTAAACTCCTTGGAGGGAGAAACAAAAACTGAAAGACAATCATAAGTTAAAGCAACGAATAGAAAAACTTGTACTTGAAAATTTTCCCAGATAGTTCAGACATTAAATTATCCGGAGCTTCAAACAAATAATCAAGAGTATCAATCAACTGGACACCCAAGATTAGGATAAAGTTCTATAGAGTAGGCCAACTGTGCTGCTAACTCTCACGATATCTGTCAGCCACCAAAAACCAGATTGAAAGTTATGGGATTTTATCCCACGAAAAGCCAGGAATCTCCTGTTTGGCGATGAGTTGGTCCAGAAAAACACAATACGACTGGCCAAATTTCATTCCTTAGGCATGAGTGGACACTTGGCTCCACCACTTCAATACTCGTGCACCTCTCCTCCTGTACAACACAAGTGCAAATACAGGGGGAAAATGATTATGCCATCCTCAAAGTTTTTACTATCACTACGATTACGCTACCCATTACGAAGTGATCAATCCAAGTGTCCACTGCTATCAGTAAATATAGCTTGACTACATCTTCATATTTCTATTTGTCATGACAATTAAAATGAGTCTAGACAATAAGACTTTCTACACAAACTGTAATCCAAGAGTGAACAGACAGTAAATAACATTCAACCACCAAAAAAAAAAAGACAACACAGGTAATAAACTGCATCAAACCATCATATAAGGTGAAATATCATACTATAGCTTAAATGCTACAAGAACAGACCATTCCAGATCAACTAAAATCATAAGCACGCAAATTAAAGCTACACTCAGAAACGAATACTAAATAGAAAGTAGCATCTAGTATCTCTTCAACCATACTACTTATTATAAACTACGAAAGCAGATACTGCAAACTACTGGGATTCAAGCAACCCAACCAGTCCCATTTTGTGTATTGACATTGATCTTTGAGCCACTCCTTTGCTGCTGGAAGAATTCATTGTGACCTCATAATTTAAGTTTTAAGAGGTCAGGGATCCTCAAGTTGAAGTTCAAGATCCAGCAAGATATCCAACTATCAAAATTACTGCTGCTGGGCTTGTCGAGATTGAGCACCACCATAGCCACCACCATAACCAACTTGCCCACCATTTCCCTGTGGGGTTCCATAATTTCCAGAAGCATGAGTTTGTTCGGATCTCCAAGCTGCATTTCCATAACCTGAATTTCCATTTGCATCCCCATAGCCACCACCCATATAGCTACCACTGCCACCACTACTTGTGAGTTCACCCCCACCAGGACCACTAGCACTATTGTTTGGAGCACTCCCAGTTCGACCACCAACAGTACCATATGCACTTGAATTCCCATAAGAACTATCACTTCCACCGTATCCCCCATACCCACCATATCCATAACCTTGGTTCCCATATCCAGCAGCCCCACCAGGGGACTGACCTGCAGTTGCTGAACCAGGACCCCCACCGCCAGATCCAGCACCACCACTTGGAGCACCCCAAGGGGCAGTGCTCCCATAGCCCATAGACCCATAACCAGAAGGTGCCTGAGCAGGCCATGAACTCCTTGGGCCTCCTGGTGGACCACCAGCATAAGCAGCATTAGGAACATTAGGATTCCCATATGTTGCACCAGCCGGTCCACCATACCCAGCGGTCGCACCACCATAACTTCCATATGCACCATACCCAATACCATTATTAGCCGGACCATACCCATACCCGGGAGCACTATAGGCAGAAGAACCATAAGGAGGGAATCCACCTGCAGCACCTTGAGGTTGCATATACCTACTAGAATCCATACGACCATCATATGCATTTTGGTTACCACCAGATGCTCCATACCCTTGATACCCACCAATTCCACCACCCCCACCTCCAGCACCACCCATCATACGGCCACTTGCACCAGGATTGGCATCCTTGGGGAGTGCTCGCTTTACCTCAACTTGTTTACCATTTAAATCGTGAAATGATTTGTGCAAAACCCTATCAACAGCCTCCTCGGTATCAAATGAAATAAAACCAAATCCTCGTGGCCGTCCAGTATTCTGATCATACATAACTACTACATCAGTTACATGTCCATAAGACTCAAAGTATTGACGAAATTTTTCTTCAGTCAGGGTAGCAGGCAGCCCTCCAACAAATATCTTTTTAGTTCTGATGTTTCCCCCATTTCCAGAATTCATGCCAGAATTGGAATTTCCACCTCTCGAGGTGACAGAAATTTGTTGATCCTCTCTTGAGAAGGCCTTTTTGGCATCAACCTGAATAATGACATTATAAAATAATTAGCTAGTTAGGCCTTAAATTGATAATGAAAAGAAATTATAACACGGGATCACAATTAATCAAAGTTCCAAATAATCAAGAAAAGAAATATTTGAGGAAGCATCAAATCTTAGAGTCAGATATGGGGCATATCCAAAACTATACAAAACAAAACATGATAAAAAAACTATAAATAGATCCTAAAAGAATCATTACTGGAGGTACTGCATCCAAGCTGGGGCTTGCTCATCCATTAAAACAAGTTATGCGATATTAACTTATTCCGAAATACTAGCATATTTTATGAACACTGGTGCTTATGCATATCATTGAAGGAAATGGTGCACTTGCAAGTTCAAAAGAGTTCTACTGCTCTATCATCTATCATAAACATCTACAAGTAAACTTGTCTCAATTTGTGAAAATAATCAAAGAGACATAAATGACACAGATAAACTGCAAACAATATATAGCTTAACTCAACAAAACAGTTCCAGCTTCTAGGCAACAATAGGTCAGGAGCAATACACCCAAAGAGAACAAGTTCCCCGTACATCTTTTTCGTGTGTTGCCTTTAAGCAATAAGGAAAATGTTAGAAAGATATAGCATTATTCTTGTATATAGATGAAAAAAAACTCTGTCGGACGACACCAACAAATAATATTCCAAATGGACAATATACCAACAACTAAAGAAATGACATTTAACCACTTCCTTGAGTAATAAAGCAGCAGTGAGTTTTACCAGCAAATAAAGAGCAGTGAAAGCTGCTCTTTCACTTCCTTTACACATCCATCCATTAACAAAGTTCACCACAGCTAGCATAACAACTCCGTCCGCAGACACAACACACAAAACCGTCATCATTTAAAAGCGTATAGACAAAATACGTCTTGAACTAAGAAAACCAAGTAGCAAAGCCAGCCAGGAACAAAACAACTAGCCCAGTGTTACAGAAAAAGGTAAGTGCATGCCAAGAGAAAAACCTATCCACTCGGAATAAAAATAAACAAATAAACAAACAAACCAAATGCCCTAATTCCAAGAGCAAACCACGAAACAATTAAAACCCTAACCAAAAAGCCACCCATCATTCAACAACAAAGAAAATGCTTCATTTTATCACCAAAAACAAGCAAACCTTCAATTTGAAACCAGCACAGCAACAAACACGCAAAAAAAAAACAAAAAAAAAACAAAAAAAAAAACAAAAGAAGCAGAAGAAATGAAGTGAAAAATGGAATAGAAGCGTCACCGTTCTGCCATCTATGACATGTTTATCCTCGAGAACCCTATCCAGAATGGCGGGATCCGCGAAAACGACGAAACCAAAGCCCCTGGGCTTGCCAGTGTTCTTCTCCCGCATAACGGAAGTACTCAAAACGTCGCCGTAGTTGCCAAAATGCTCCTTGAGCTTGTCTTCCGTGGTGTCCCACGATATCCCGCCGATAAAAAGTTTGCCCTGATCCGAATCCATTTCCCTCCCTCCCTCTGTATATATATATGGATAAATAAATATTAATAGTGGTGGTGGTCGATTTGGGAGAGGGTCGAAGGTGGGAATTTAGGTTTGATTTGGGAACGGAGAAAAAAGAAGGAAGAGAAGAAGAAAGAAGGAAGAGAGGGTTTGGAGGGGTGAGGGCTTCGAATAAATGAAATTAGAGTGTGTTGGGTTTTTTGTAATGTAGTAGAAATGGTTTTCAAAAAGTATTCCTGTTTAACGGCTCAGATGTGTTTGGTTCGAATTTCGTGACACGTGTAGCCCATGCCGAGGCTATTCAATTAACTTCTTCCTTCCATTAATAATAAATCAAAATTGGACTCTTAATGCTTTCTTTGGACCAAGCGAGAAAAGAAAATAATTAATAATGAAAAAATAAATTAAAAAGAAAATTATTCTTTTACACCTTCTCGCATCAAAATAATAATTAATAATAAGAAAATAAATTAAAAGAATTATTCTTTTTACATCTTCTCACATCAAAAGATTAAAAAATATTTTGTTTTTTACGTGAACAACAAATTGATATTTTTTTAAAATGTAAATGCTACATAAATAAAATTAGATTGAATAGTTTTTTTATTATTTTTATTTTTTATCAAATTCGTTTATTATTATTTTTTATTTTAATATAAATTTTAAATTAAATATAATTAATATCATTCAAGTATCAAATGTAGTGTAACTTGTATATTAAATATGTTACACATAATTAATAATAATCATCAATGGCATATTTATTATATTTATATAAACAAGTTTCACACGTTTTATATCGCCACCAGATAAACTATATATCAATAATTATATCACTTGATGTAAGAGATAACATTAGAATCAGATTAAAAAAATAATAATGATGTCAAACAACTATTTAATCATAAAAAATATTTTCACATAAATGGCACAAGGATCAGTTTATTTAGTTAAAAAAATTAAAATAAAGTTTAATTGTTTAATATTGAAATTTAAAATAATATATAATCGTCTCAAATTATTTTTTACTCTAGTATGTTAAAGTCGTGCTAACAAAAATAACAGAGAATGTATTATTTTTTATTTTTCAGATTTTAAATAAAGTAAATCTATTTTCCCTCACTTTTTTTATGGGTTCCATCTCGTACGTTTGATTTATTGATTAAGATTTTTTTATGTACACATTCTAGTATTATGCCAAAAAAAATAAAAATCACGTAAGATAAGCTGATTGATTTAAACAATATTAGAACCTAAGTTAGATTATTTGATTGTTTAGAAAGTCACTTTTTTTATTATTATTATTATTATATATATATATTTTGTAAAGTTTGATGATATGTTTATATTATGATTTGTTATGTTTTATTGAAATGAAAGTTTATATGTGGTTTCTATGATTTTAAAACAATGGTGTGTAATATTATTACATTAAGAATTGTATTATTGTACTTTACTTAGATTAAATAAAAAATGGATTTTACTTCTAAATATAGAATTTAAATTCAATTGAATTGAAAATTTTAAAAATGATAAATTTTATATTTTTTTAAATTATCATATATTTACGGATTTAATTTGATTTAACGAAATCAAGAAAATATTGAAATTATTTCAATTTTATTTAATATTTTAAAATTTGTCTAAAATATTAAAGACATAATTGAAAATTTAATTTTAATTAAATTTTATAAAGAAATATGCAGAAAGTGAAAATTATAAATTTCTTAGAAAATTGAAAGTCTACATTTATTTAATTTGTCCCTCTAAACTTTCGTACAAAAGTCCACCTAATATGTGTATTAAATTGAGAATTAGTTATATTTATATATGAATGATGTGAAGAATAACATGAACATAATCTTGTATGAATGAGTATGTTTCGATAATAAAATTTTCAGCATATAAGATAAGAATTTTAATTATTTATTAATCACTGAATATTATATAGTAAAAATCAAACTAAGATTTACTTATTGATTAACAATTTTCTGAAATAAGTAAAAAAAATCTGTATAAATTTTAATTATATGTTTAACGTTTGTGACATTAAATAATTTTAATAAAAGTAATAACACAAATCATTAATAACATAACAAAATAAAGAAAAGGATAGATAAAACATTTTATTTAACCTAATTTTTAATATAGAATTTAAAATATATATTAATTTGTTTATCATGTTATATTAAAAACAAATTCACCAGAATTACTTGATCATGGCAAAACATATATAAAAGATATGTTTTATTTTTTAAATAAACTAAAGAACCACTAGTTGTATATGATAAGAATAAAATGATACATAGCTGCATTGAAATTAAAGGAACGAGTGTACAATTTAAAAAGTAGAACGTGATTCAACCAATGAAGATGTGAGTTTAATAATTCAATCTTTAATCATAGTTCAATTATTATTAATAAAATTAATTATTTGATAAACTGATAATATATATATATATTGATATTTTTTTAATTATAATAATAATTGAATAATTTATAAATACATTTGAATGATAGATGTATTTAAATAATTCTTTTAGATAATAATACTGATTAGGATATAGTAAAATTAAATTTATTATAAGTTTTGAGATTTTAGTATAAGTTTTGAGATTTTAGTATAATTTGTTAAAATAATTATGGGTCATTTAAATAAAATTGAGGATGAGAGTCAAGACTCAACAATAGAGTTTTTTATTTATTTAAATAAAAATAAAAACAAAATCCATGCTTCAAATATGATAATTTTCATTTAAATATAAAAAATTGGTTAAAATGACAAATTTTAACGATAAATTTAACTAGAAATACATGAATTAAAATGCAATCAATACTATATAAATAATCACTATCTAAATTATAATAATAATTAAAAAGTAAAATTTAAATAAAATTCGACTATAAAAAAAAAAAAACGAAAATCTTGTTAATCCATTATAAAAAATAAAATTAGAAGTGTGAAAATTTTTGCTTCAAACGGGGAGATACAGTATGGGTGATCTTGCACCATTTTACTAACATCCTCATCTTCTCAAACCCAAATTACTTAGCCAATTCATGTATTTTCAAATAAACAACGACAAAATCACCAACAAAAAATAATTTCTTATTCTATTATTCCTAAATATTTACTTCTGACATTGATTTTTTAAAAATATTTTTTAATGATTTGTTCATATATTTTTGTAATCAATTTTCCTAAATATTTACTCACAAATTATTACTTTTGAATCTTACTTAAATTTTTAAATATCATCAAAATATATATGATATACTTAAATTTTTAAATATCATCAAAATATATATATGATATACTTAGAAGTTATGTTTAATTACCGATTCCTCATTGTTTTCAAAATAAAGTTAACGGTTCCCTCAATAATTTGCATTCGTAAGGAATTCATTGGAACTTAACGGGAAGGACTGTTATTTATACTAGGTCCCTATTTTTTAAAATAAAACAAATAAAAGAGAATGATGGTAATAATAAAATAAAAAAATGAATGTGTAATTATTTTAAAATTGGATTTTATTTATATTGTGATATTTTTTTATCTTCAATTAAAACATTATTGTATTCGAATTTATACTGTTAATTAAGAGAAGATGATATACTCAAAGTTAAATAGTGCTATTATAATTGGTATATAATTTTTGTGTTTATTTTTTTTCTATCAATAGTTAAATGAGTTATATATTCTAGGTCCAACCTTTTGCATTCCATTATCATCTTCTTTACCATTTAATCATGGAATATGTATTCTGATATAAAAAATTATATTTTTGAAATAGTGGCGTGAAATATATTTGGATAAATTTGTGTAATGAATATAAAATAGATATTTTAACATATACATGACAGTAATATACGAGTATTTTTGACACTAAAATCTTAAATTGAAAGCTTATGATCTGAGTTAAGGAACATTAAATACTAAGTAAGGCATTTATTTTGTTGCTATAAAAATGCATAAACTCTGATAAAAACGACAAGTAGTCAAATATTGGAGAGCAAAAGAATTTTCAGATCTGAGACAAAACAAAAGCAACCAATGTTGTCCCTTACCTTTCGTTTTTATTTTTATATTATTAAAAAAACTCTTGTGCCCACAATCATCATTAAAAGCCTAACGTTACTATTTTCGAAATTGTTTGGAGCCAAACGGCTTTTAAACTTGTCACATGTTCTTCTCTCCCTTCTCTCTCTGGGTGGCATGCATGTCAGTTTCTGACTGAGAAGTTTCATTCATTATATGCCACCTTATCAACAACATTCCTCACCCTCCTCCTCTTCCCGATCCAGATGGGTTGTTTCATGGCATGTTTTGGTTTATCCAACAAAAGGAAGCGTAGAAAGACTCTCTACAAAGTCCTAGCTGGACACCAAGTATGTACACTCCATTCTTTTGCTCTTAATTTGTGATATTCATAGAAATATTTTCATATTTAAGGTAGATGATCACCAATCGGTTACAGCTTTGAAAATAATTGTGTTATCTAACAGAAATATGGGAATTATGAAGTTCTTGCCATAACAGAAAAAACCATTATCCCGGATTCTGATTTCAGGTTGGTGTTTATTGCTCGCTATTTCCCTTGATATATTATTATGTGTATGTATAGATAAGATGGACTATTTATATAATTTGTTTCTTAGAGGCAGAGATGAAGTTAAGGAGCAGAACAGTAATAAGAGCAGGAAGAAGAAAGTTACCTTCAATTTGAATGTACAGGTATATGAGCCAAACCCCACTGCTTATCAGGCATTGAATAACGAGGAAGAAGAGGATAATGACAACACTGCAGAGCCAGAAAGCTCTGCAGCCTTGCCAGTGAGATACCCTACAAATCACAGATATTATAACTGTGGAGATGGTCATGGTGAGGAGGATGAAGTGGCGTATGAGGATTCTGACATTGATGACTATTATGATGATGATGAATTTGACGACGATGATGATGATGAGTATGATTGGGACAATGGGGGCAGTGATGGAAATTTAGAAAATGATGAAGGTGAGGTATATGATGAAAATCCTAAACAGAAAGAGTTGTCAGAGTCATGCTATCGTTCTCTGGCAGAAGACAAGGTAAAGAATCAGATGCCAGTTTATCCAAATCATGCTGAACTGAAATCCAATTTAAGTGGACGAGACAGAAGCATGGACATGCATTCTGTTCTATGCCCTGTGGAGAATCTCACTCAGTGGAAAGCGATCAAAACAAAAGTTGCAGCATCAAGCAAGCACAGGAGGAAGGAGAATGTTCCATCAAAGCAACAAACAAGTATGCCCTTAGTCTCTGATGCGAGCTTGAATTTCTCACCATGCAGCTTGGAATCAAATGCCCTTCAGTCCAAGCCTCTGTTGCCAGAAATTGCAGTTGATGCTAGCCTTTCAAACTGGTTGGGTTCTCCTAATTATCGTGTCTCCTCGACCACAATCCATTGCCAATGATGTGGTCATGTCATTGAAAAAAAAAAAAAAACTTTAGAAAATATCAATGCTGCGGACTTAAAGCATGTTTTAGCATGGGCAGCAACTTCGAAGGAGGACGCATCAAACATCAAATTTTGATTCTTCTGTTGATTATTCATTCTGCAAATCAGTATATGCCAGTTGGGATGATTTCATCGTATTTGTGTGTCTAATTCTTACCCTGTATTTTATTTTGTTTGTGAATTTGTAAGCAAGGGAGAGTGTATTTGTCTATTTTTATCTTTTTGTTGCAGCTATACAATTTGAAGTGTTCTCAACTTTCATGTTCACAGTATACATTGTATTCATTATGACATTCCCCAAAGTGATATTTGAATCAATCAAGAGGTTCTTGTGTAAGCAACAGGGGTTGATATATAAAAGTAAACTGAAAGTAAACAGAAACCCTTTAGGCAATCATGGAAATTTATTCCACTTGTGAGTAACTGGGGAATACGAAAGGAGAAAAAGAGGCATCCCCTTAATTAGAAGCATCACCAAAGCAATTGAGTGCATAACTTTTAGAGAAACAATATCCGTGACAAAGCATGAAATTACTAAACCTACAAGGAAGCTGTGCTACTGTCAACACTTTCCAGATAACTTTGTTGGAAGCAGTGTGTACCTTGATCTGCCAGAGAACTCACAAAAGCCCACAAAAAAATCATGTCAAAAAATCCAGTAAGATAAACTGGATCCATAAATTGGAACACAAGGAGCTGCTTATCTTGGTTACAGGAGAGTTACTCCAAGACATCGTATTTACTCAAATTCAGGAAGCACAGGTTCCAATGATGCTCCATGATTAGTCCAGTAGAAAGTTTGACATGGCTTATCAAGATTTCTCTACATTATTGAACAGACACAAGAATCCACACCCTCATCCTCTGAGTCTGAGTCACTAACATCACTGCACATACAAATGGGAGACCAAATGTGAGATAATTATGGATATATAACACATATAGACTTGATTATCACACTCAATTTTGTTTTGCTACATTAAATCGTAGAGCAAATGCTTCGAACTTTGTATAGCAACTACTAGCAAAGAAAATATTGGTTATTGTTCTGTACTTTTCTTTATTTTTCTCCAGCAGCATACTCGTGACCAGCTTCTATCAATTTTAACCTCTGAACTAACTGCATATGTAATCACATAGATTTATGTAAATCAAGAAGAAAACAGATGAATGAGTGCAATTTTATTTCGTAAGTTCTTCATTGAGTGAAGTCCCAGGGCTAGTATCACATACTTTCCATGTCAAAAAACAAGAATATTTGTCAAAATTTCCTTCTTGAGCTAATTTCTGCTTCACTTCATCCATTTTAATGGAAGCAGCAATTTCCATTGCTGTTTCTATGTAGATAAGAACTAAATTTTCTTTATCTCGTAATATTTGTCTTCTGACATGAGCTAGAAAGCACAAACATGACGGAGGATATGGGTATGATTTCAATCATTATAACAAATTTCAATGTTTCAAAATTGAGTATGTCATTGTAGGCATAGTGAAATGCTTTAGTTACCTAATTGTAATTGCAAATGTTCATGCTCAGGTGCTCAAAAGGAAGAAAAGAACAAAATTACTTCCCAGAAGTCTTTTGAGAGGACAACAAGAATTTTACTAATTTCATGAAACAGTCATAGAAAGAACAAAGTGAAACAAAACACTGAAAGAAAACGTAAATGAATTGATGAAAGTGAATATTACAGTCAGAGAATTTGGTGGAGAATTAGCAGGGACATAATGGGAGCAGCAGGAATGCCTTACATACAATAAACATGAAAAAAGATTCTTAAGGGGCAAACTACACAATTAGTCACATTGATGCATCCATAATGAAGTCACCCTGATATTATAATAGAGGACAGGGAACAAAAAAAAAAAAGAGAAAATGAAAAAGAAAGCAGGACAACTCTGTAATTCAGTGAGCCACCATTGTATCAATCACACAACAAAAAATAAACTCAAAGGAGACACGCGTGAATTTTTCCGTTTCCACAAAACAAGGGCAACAAGAAACCATTTCAACTTTTTCCTTTTTCCTTCTCTCGTATTGTTTTTCATCAACACACAACTGAATTGAGCCAGCACACAAAGCCCTCCTATTTATTTATTTACAACATGTGATGTGATTGTGAACTAGGTGAGCATATTTCGGCACACGCTGAACACAAGTTATTTGATTACCTTGGTACGTATTCCAAAACCTCAACAAGCTTGTTTCCTATCTTATCGTTCCACTGCACTTTCCTTTTCCTTTTAGTCTTATCCGATTTCCGTGACATTCCTCCTCTTGGAGCAGGCAACAAAGAATTGGAATCTTTCTCATCTTCTCTATTGCTATGATCTGCAACCTCCCTGCCCTCTAAAGAAGCCACAGTCACCGTCACGGTCAGAGCCATAGGCTTGTTATTGCAACCATTAGTATCCTTGGTTGACTTCGTATCCATCAACAATAACACTCTTTATGCTCTCTCTGGTACGTTTGGTGACACAGACCAACGAAGAAAAACGGAAATAAATAATTTAACCGAAAATTCAGTGAATTAGAAAAACCAGGAAGGAACCCATTTTACCCATTGACATCTAAATCATAGCACAACTTCTAAATCGCTCCAAAAACAGAAACTTCGGAGGAACCTTACCAAGAGTTGAAGCAAGACAAAAACAGGGGAAACAGAGCGGAAGAAAAGTTTAACTTCTACACGACCCACTAAATGGAAGAGCAGTGAGAGAATCTGAGTGTCAACAAACAAGAAAACGACATTAATTTGTATGGTTACAACGTGAAAACAATCCACAAGCAGAATCCGAATTGATGCTCCTACAGTTTATCACTGTTGGGAAAATTAGTTTCTGCTTAAAAGAAAGAAAGGGAGAACACTACCTTTCAGTGTTTAATATTAATTTATATTAATGGAGTAATTTTTGTTTTTAATATTTCATTATTATTTATTTTTCTATAGTTTCCACTTTAAATGTTATTAGATATTTTTCCATAAAATATATTATATATTATATATTACATATAACTAAATAAAGAAAGAATTAAAGATCTAACTCAGAGCGTGAATTATTATAAATCTTTATATAATTTTTAATTTTCATAGAAAAAAATTAAGACATGGTACTATATAAAGTAATAAGAGGAATAACTAAATGAAAAAGGAAATAAAATATATAAATAGAAAAAATGAAGTTCTAAAATCTAAAATCTACATATTAATATATATATATATATATATATATATATATATATATATATATATATTAATTGAATAATCAAATTATTAATTTTTTTTAAATATGGATTGATAAAGTTAATCTGATCGTATCAAAAATATTTTTTAATTTTGGTACTTCAAAGTGATTGTAACACGCGTTTATTCTTTTAAAATTGAAAAAGTGTTCAGTGAGGGTGTGAATCATTCGTGGAATACATGTATTTAATTTTATTGTGGTATTTTAATAATAAATGTACTACAATTGTATGATATAAATACATTTGATTATTTGTAATAAATAATTATATTAAATAATAATATATTAAATAGGATAATGATTATTTATTACGTAATTTTATTTTAAATTCTCCAATAATTGTTAAGATTGTCAAACATGTTTATAATAAATTTATTCTTTGTAAATGACAAGTTGAAAAAAAAGTAACGATTTTATTGTCGTTAATATATAAGTGTGTCTAAAACTTGCCTTTCATAATCAAAATAATATTTAAATATAAAATAAATCGCATTTAGTTATATCACATGACCCAAAGAAAATAAAAATCAATTGAAAGAAAAAAAAGAGAAGTATGCAATACCTCGTAGGGTTAGAGAAAGAATTCACCTATGGTTTTCAATAATATATTTCTTATTTGAATTTTTTAATAAATAGTTTATTTTTTATTATGATTTATGCTCATGTTTGTCTTATCTTAAATTTGTGTTTGGATTGAGTGATGTAATGTTTATAAAAAATGGGAGAATAGATTTGAGGATGAGATGTTGTTTGTTTTCATTTGAGAAGAAATACAATACAGATAAATGAGAGTGAGAGAGAGAAAGAGGGAACATTTTATCCTTGAAAAAATAAGATGAAATACAGGTAAAGAGATGTATATAACCAATTTGTTCTCAGGCAACTAAAAAAAACTTTGAATGACTACATTTATATAATCGATTATATATTATAAATAATCTATTGTACACACATCAATAATCAATTATATGAAAAATACTATTATATTTATTATATATATGAATTAATATCAATAATATACAATATTATAGTTATATGTGATTTTATATTTTTTATTATAATAAATTTAAATTATATTTAAATAATTTATTAATAATGTTATTGATTTTATTTTTTATTATAATTTTTTAAATTTGCATTTAAAAACAATTTTTATACATGATTTTTAATTATTAATTTAAAATATATTTTTATATTATTTTAAAATTAATATTTTTTATAAAATAATTTATTTTTATTAAATTTTAATTAAGAATATTTTAATATTAATATTTTTATATTTAATTATATTATAATTATTATTTTGACTTAATTTACCCCTTCTAATAATAAAGATATTTTAGTTATTATATTAAAAAAATTATTATTTAATATTTTTTTATATTCAATCATATAACTGTAATAAATCTACTAATGAAATATCTTCAAATTTATTGTTATCTTTCTCTTAATTTAAACAATTTTATAATTCATTTTAAATTCTTTAAAATTTACTCCCTGAACTACTCACGCAAGTGATAAAATAATAAAGATATTTTAGTTATTATATTAAAAAAATTATTATTTAATATTTTTTTATATTCAATCATATAACTGTAATAAATCTACTAATGAAATATCTTCAAATTTATTGTTATCTTTCTCTTAATTTAAACAATTTTATAATTCATTTTAAATTCTTTAAAATTTACTCCCTGAACTACTCACGCAAGTGATAAATTATGTTAATAATGATGTAAAGTGACATGTATTTTTTATTTTTATATTTTTTATATTTTATTTTGACTTATCATAAAAAAATCATTTTTATTCTACAATTTGTTTTTATTAATTTCTGTTTTTTTTAAGTGATAAAAATTACCTATTAAGTGGTCACGCTCTTGGAAAGTAGGATGACACTTTTTTTTTAATTCTTTTATTTCAATAAAAAATAATTAATATGATAAAAACAATATCGTTTCATTCATTTAATGGTTGTATCTTCTTTTGTTCTCGGATTTTCTAATTAATTGTGTGACTAAAAAATAATAAATACATTGTTATTCGTAATTCTTTATCTTTATTGAATTTCATCATCAAATCAAATCTATTTAAAAGAAAAAAATAAATTACACAAATTTTAATAAAAGGAAAACTGTAACATCTCAAAAATAATAATTAAAAGAAAGATAAAGTTAACTTATCTTAAAGGATAAGACTTATCTAAGTCATACTTGTATTTAATTATTTCATTAAGTAAAATAATAATAATAATAATAATAATAATATGGCTATAAATAGGAGGGGGAGAGGTTAAGTAAGAGGAAAGAAAAAATTGAAGGAGAAAAAAGAAAGGTAAAGAGAGGAGAGAGAAGGAAAGAAAGAAAGAAGAAAGGGAGAGGAAAGAGAGAGGGAGAGAAAGAAAGAAAGAGGAAGGGAGAGGAAGAAAATAAGAAGAAGAAAAAGAGAGAAAGATAAGTAACTTGTACAAAATTTTGATACATCATTTGTAATTCTTAAAATAGGGAAAAGATTTATTTATCAATATTTTTTTTATTTTTACTTATGGTTGTGAAGTGAGGTGTCCCTAACCTTATTCTATTTATTCTTTACATTTTATTTATCTTCAATTACACACTGGTCTTATTTATTTAAGTCCTGTTATGTACTGGTTCTATTTGTTTATTTTATTTTATCTCCAGTCTTGTACTGATCTTATTTTAATTATCTTCAGTTATGTACTGGTCCTATTTATTTATTTTATTTTATCTCTAGTAATGCATCAATCCTATTTATTAATTTATATTTATATTATCTAATTATTAATAATATCTATTTATGAAGATGTAATGATATTGTAGATGGAGTTGGACCTTGGGGATTGAAATGAGTAAATATCATCTGAAAAAGTGATTAAAATTAGGCTCATTTATTTTGACTAGTCACTACAAATTTAATTTAAATCTTCATAAATGGAATAAATGAAATAAGTTGAGTAAGTTGAAAAATATATTTTATATATCATTATAAGATGATATTATTTTAAATGATAATTGTTTTCACTTCTTTATTGTTATTTCTTATGCATGTTACAATTAAAATATCAATATAAATAGATGGAAGCATTAAGATGGAAGACACGTATTATTCAATCACTGTTAGAAGAAAATTTTTGTCAATTGTAATAATTGTTTCGATATAATGATAATGTAAATTTGTAAAGTTTACATCTTTATACATATAAATGTATAAACATTTATCTCATATCTTACTTTTTTCAAGACTTAATAGAAAGTAGTAATGTCTTAAAATATGGTTAACAACGTGAGGAAAAAAAAGGATCCCACATTAGATGGTATCAGAGCAACGTTTCACGTGTGACATGTGAAATGAGCTTATCACGATATCTTATGAATTCTAACTTATATAATTCCAGATGACAAATAATAGAAGGAACAACAAGTTGACAGAAGCGGTACAAGTTATCCGAGACATGACTGCTGCATTATTAAGGAACCAAAGACCTGAAGGGACCAATGGATCATAAGGTTTAGTTGAATTTAGGAGAAACAAACCTCCGCAATTTTCTGGAGGTTATAACCCAAAAAAGACTGAATTATGGATTAAAGAATTGGAAAAAATATTTGAAGTTATGAATTGTCTTGATGACCAAAAGATGAATTATGTAATGTTTATGTGGATAGGAGAGGCTGAATATTGGTGGGATAGTACTAGGAGATTACTAGAAGGAGGAAGAATAACCATTACTTGGGAGGTGTTTAGAACAAAATTTTTAGAAAACTATTTTTCCCAATGATGTGAGGAGGGCAAAAGAAATAGAGTTTATGCAATTAAAGCAAGGAGGTATGACAGTAGGAGAATATGCCTCTAAGTTTAAAGTGCTAGGAAATTACTGTGCATTCTTTTATCACCCTGATGAAAGAATGAAGTGTATAAAATTTGAGAATGAACTTAGACCTGAATTGAGAAAAGCAGTAAGAATACTAGAAATTTCTGATTTTCCTACGCTTATTCATAAATGCAGATTTTTGGAAGATTTTGAAAACCATCAAAATATTAAACCAAAATATTTTGGACCCCAACATAATAAAAGGAGACAAAATGAAGGAAAACCTTACAACTGCCCCCAATGGAGATCCCAACCCAGCCAATTTTCTGTAGGAAATTTTAATAAACCTGTAAATAGTCA